CGCACGCACGCACGCACGCACGCACGCACGCACGCACGCACGCACACACACACACACACACACACACACACAGCAGCAGCAGCAGCAGCAGCAGCAGCAGCAGCAGCGAATCGAGGCGTTCAGCGTCACAGTGTTAGATCAAAGGTGAGTGGTAGCAGCACACAGTGACGACAGAAGCATTAAGTATGAAGTGTTTGGTAGTCCAGTATCTATACATCCGCCTCACCCTCAGACGTCTGTGCCATCCAAGTTAAACACACCATGAATGCTCTCAATAACTAGCTCGCAAACGCAGCACAAGTAAAAATTAATCACTCATCGCGATTAGAGACTGTAAACAAACTTCCTTCGTGTTCAGGTGCAATGTGTCAACACGGTGAGTGTGGGCGAGTCGGCAGCCGTGTACGCGCATGCGCATCTAAGCTGTATGTGCATCATGCGCATGTAAGCTGCCGTCGTCAGAATTCGGCGCCTAGGCGAATAACTCGAACGCATTATAATATAAATATAGTTATCATATTATACTAACAGCTACGCCTCAGCTGGAGAACGCGTATCACAAATGCACGACGACGTCTGATAGACCGAATTCCGTAGCAAATGTGAAATATCTCTATTATTGAGCCATTCTCTTTTGACTGTCCATTTTCGCATTTTTTTCCGTTGTGACCCTCCATATACTCTGTAAACATAAAAGTACTCTGTGTTATATAATGATATGCTACATAAACATTATAGATAGAGCACAGAACAGACGTGTTCCACAAGATACAGGAAGGGTAAGACACAAGCAACGTGCACATATTACGCTATATATATACCATGAAAATAATTGAAATGCAGATTTTAATCAAGTAAGCTGCTGTGAGTGGTTAATATATATATATATATAAATATATATATATTAGCGCATGATGTGATGAAAGCGAAATCAAGGTCGCGAGCTATAGCGAGAGTGCACAGTGCACGGCTAGCACGCGCAGCTTCTATTGCGCTAATAATAATAGCACTCTATGGACACGAAGACATATTACATCCGCGCCGATGTCGGGGGAAATAACTAGAATCAAATTAAATCTGAATTAATAAAACTCTTCCGAGTGGCAAATCGAGTGGTGCTAGTTAGGAGCGTAGCTAGCCCATTTTGTCTGTGCGTGTGGGGGCAGATATAAAGCCACACGCGTGTTCTATTCGGAAAGGTGACCGCCGTTGACCATGTAATGTATGTGACGGCCAAATCGCCCGGAGTCTTTCGCGAGCTGGTTCAATAAACGAAATAGACACAGGAATTACTGGATACAGTCTCTTTATCGTGTATTTGCCATCAAGACCCAATACAGCTCCAAATTCCAGTCAAACATCCATCAATTCCATCGAGTATCCGTAAATCTCTTATGTCATCCGCGTTCTAAAACACAAGCGTTCAAAGCGGTCATCCGGAACGAAACTGTGTCTCACATGCTATGCTCACAATGGCAAAAGCGCGGATTCTCAGAAAAGGGGGTTCCACTGCGCACAATGAGATTCGGAATCAAGAGTAGTCCGAAAGGAGTTTTAGAAATTGGCGTCCACATTCCAGCCCTCTTATTGTGGGCTAATGCAACACAATTACAAATATACTCAACATACATGCACATACAGGTAGATTTGTCTCCCAGAGATCAAATACACAAAATTTCAATACAAGGCATATAAAACTACACTAACCAAGTCCCTCTCACACATTCAGGACTATAACGGGCTATAACGACAAACCAAATCAGGTCAAACCAAGAACCAGCACTAACCAACTGGTTTTCCAAATAGTCTTAATAGTTACGGTCTCAGAACACAAAAAATCAAGTTATGAACTTCAAACTCAAATCAGCCATAAACATCCCAAAATACTCAAACCAATCTAGTTTGAAACAGGTAGTTCAGCTTTAAGTACTCACTTTAGCTCTACAAAGTCACTCATTCATTACACAGTCTAACTCACTGGTTCACACTCAAAAATAAGACACAACTTGTCAATTGGTATCAACATCTCACTATTGGCTGTTTTCACCCTAACTTGTCTCACAAAACCATTCCTATCCTTCAACACTTCAATCACCCGACCCATAAGCCACGAGTTTCTTGGGAATCTTTTGTCTACAACCAAGACAACATCGCTAACTTGAAGATTTCTCTTGAGATCGCTCCATTTTTGTCTTTCGTGTAACAAGGGAAGGTATTCCTTAACCCAGCGGTGCCAAAACAAATCAGACAAGTACTGCACTTGGCGCCATCTACGTCTAGAATAGATGTTTTTCTAAATGAATACTCCAGGTGGTAAGACAGGTTTACATTTCATCAAGAGAAGGTGATTTGGGGTCAACGCTTCCAAGTCATCTGGTTGGTCCGAGTTTCTCGAGATGGTCCTATCATTTAAGACAACCTCGATTTCACAAAAAAGCGTCCTCAAACCCTCGTCATCTAATCTTTGCTCTTTCATGACAGTATTCATGATTCTACGTATCGACCCAATCATTCTCTCATAGATTCCCCCATGGTGCGAGCCTGCTGGTGGATTAAAAATCCACTCGATATTTTTCTGTAACAAGTAATCATGAATCTGACCCTGATTCCACTTAGCCACGGCCTCCCTCAACTCGCGATTGCCCTCCACGAAGCTAGAGCCATTGTCGGAGCGCAAACGTCCGCAATGAATCGACGCAGTGCACAAATAAATAAACTTGTATCTAGGGAATCTGCGACTTCAATATGCACGGCCCGGATGGCAAGACACGTGAACATTACCCCGTAACGTTTTACTACAGATCTACTACGGGCAACTTCAAAAGGGCCATACAGATCAACATTAACCGAGCTAAAGGGTGAATCATCAGCTGACATCTTGTTCTCATGAAGATCACTTATTTTCTGTTGACACACCTTGGTTTTTTGTTTTTTACAAGTCACGCTTTGACGGAGCAATCTTCTTATGACCGATGGAGCTTGGACAATCCAAAACCTTTGTCGCAATCTACTGAGCATATGGTTTCGCCTACTGTAAAAGAGACTCTTGTGTATGTGGTCGAGAATCAATTTGGAGACATGACTAGTGTAACGGCCTCGGCCTCTGCTCTGCCGAGCCCTGCGCGCAGTTCGCTCGCCGAACTTTTCGGTGTCAGATGTTTCGCTCCCCGAACTTTTCGGTGTCAGATGTTTCGCTCCCCGAAAGGTGCGCGCAGCTTCGCAAGTAGAATCGCCGCCTCTAAAACGATCCTCTTCGGTAGTGTTCGCTGCGTCGGTGGTATTCGCTGCGTTGGTAGTACCCCTTCACGCGAAAGATTTCTCTCCCGCGCGTGCGTTGTGTAAGACTTATGAGATGGTGTGAGGATGCGTACGGTTACAGGCGTACCCTTCCTCGGCGGTAAGATTGACGTGTAGACGTGGGGAGAAATGAAGGCGCAGGCAAAAGTGTGCTAAGAGTGAATAATGTTTATTACAACACAACGAAAGAATGGGTAAGATACATACTGAACGCACCGGTAATCAAACGAGCAGCTTTCAAAGAGCTTTCTGAGTCGTACTCACTCGTTTCGGCGCTGGTGTTAATTCCAGGAATATATCTCCCGCACAATAGTTTACTCGCTCAACGTTACGAGTAACTCGCTAAACTCCGAAATACACATCAGTAGGTTCCTGAATAACTCCCTACACAAACCCTCTACTCCCCTTCTTCTACTACTTCTGCTCAACTACTCCTACTCTACTCGACTATTCAACTCCAACTCAACTCCTCTTCTTCCTTCTCAACTGCCCAACTAACTCTTCACAACTGCCAACTCGACTATTAACTCTTCACAACTATTAACTATTCAACTGCCTATCGTCAGGCGCGCGGTGCCCTCTTATACCCTCGCGGGCGCCTGCCCCATGAGTCAGCTCTCAGTAGCCTATCACAGCGCGCGTCTACCACGTCCGCTCTGTCACGCACGCCTACCTAACACGTGATCAACCGATCGATCGCTCACTGGCCGAGCCCCGTGATTGGCTGTTCCTGTTTACCAGCGTGTTATTTCGGTATTCGGAGATTTCGGCGGTTTCGGTGTTCGGTACTATTCCTCCCGAACGCTATCCCCGAATTCTAGTTCCCGAATCGCTATTTCCCCGACTCTCGATTCACCCGCGCCGTCACACTAGATTTGGATAGAATGACCGGGTGCTTGGCTTCTTCGGTTAACTTTGAACAGTCTAATCTGCCCCAACACGCAATAAATCTCCGTCAAAAATTGGGTCCAGTTTACGGATTGGACTTGACCGCGACACTTGTGGGTCTTTCCCGTTTAGGACTTCAATCTCCTGGGCATAAAAGGTGCGCTGATCGTAGCTCATGATGGCCGATTCTGCTCTCCGCATGTCATTCACAGTTAATGGAAACGTATCGACACCTACTGCTTGGTCACCTCTATTCATTCGTCATCGGGCACGTGCCAACAGTGTGGACTTCACCCTCAAGATCCACGCAACTGACCGCTTCAATGCTGTCCACGACGAGTATCGCTTCAATAACCTGGCAATGGCATCCACGTTTTTTGTAGTCACCACTGCCCCAACAACCTTCTCTTTCTTTACCTCAGGGTCCAAATCCTCGCTGTCCTCCTTTGCTGGTACCAAGATGGGAACATCTGGCTACTCTGACTTGTCTTCCCACAGGAAACCAGGTCCTGCGAACCAACGTGGCGAACTCAATATCTCGCTAGCCGACAGTCTTCTGCTGGCGTCGTCTGCAGGACTCAGCGTGGTATTGACATACATCCACTGGCTGGGAGTTGGTCCGTCACGAATAACCACAAGCCTATTAGCAACAAACGTCTTGTATCTTGACGTCTCATTGTGGATGTACCTCAGCACCGTCTGACTGTTTGTCCAAAACTGGGATGGCATCAAGGGCAACTCGCTCAACTCCCTGGTTAGCATTCTGCCAGTTCGAACAGCCACTGTCGCTGCTGTAAACTCTAGTCTAACTATCGTCGTCGCTTTTTTCAAAGGGGCTACGCGAGACTTCCCTAAGGCGAGGGAACAATGGCGCTGTCCATCTGCATTCTGAAGCAACAAATACGACGCGGTGCCGTATCCTGCCTCGCTCGCGTCAGAGAAATGATAAAGCTGCGCTGATTTAACGTCCCCAAACCCCCTTGGCTTGTAACAGCTGTTAACCCCAAAGCTCTCCAACTCCCTCAAGTCATGCCGCCAAAAACGCCCACTGGTTAAGAAGACCATCTGGAATGGTTGCGTCCCAGCCCAACTGCAGCCTCGTTATCTCTTGCAACAGTCCCTTTGCACGTAACACGAATGGAGTCAGAAAACCAAGTGGATCATAAACACTGCTAACTATAGACAGGATCTCACGACGTGGGGGCGGACGCTTCTGTACATCGACGTAAACGCGAAACCTATCAGACTTGACGCACCAACTTACAGCCAGCGCCCTTTCGATTGGCATTACGTCCTGGTCCAAATCCAAATCTACAACACTCTTGGCCCTCTTTTCCACTGGTATGGTGGCGACTACCTCTCTGTGGTTACTTATCCGGCATCGCATGTTGAAGCCACCGTGGTCCAACACTGAATCGACATCCGCGTTGGACGGCTCTCGCATTCTTCAACAGATCGTCGACATAGAAGGACTTGAGCACCGTGTTGATAACATCAAAATTAAACTGACCCTTCACGCCCAAGGCGGTTCTTCTAAGCGCGAAATTAGCACAACTCGGGGACGATTTCGCGCCAAACAGGTGCACTACCATCTGGTATTCCAACACTTCGTTAGCAGGGTTCCCATCCTTCCACCAAAGGAACCAAAAAAAGTTACAATCTTTTGGAGGAACGCCTACTGTACTCTGTAAAACATGGTTTACATGTCTCCTTGAATCGCAACATCATCAAGCCTAAACCTAAGTAGAGTTCCAACAAGACTATTAGTCAAGTTAGGACCGGCCAACAACTCGTCATTCAGACAACACCCACTGTACTGCGCCGCACAATCAAACACGACGCGCAGTTTGTGTTTCCGCGGGTGTCGCACCCCATGATGGGGAGTGTACCACACTTTACCTGAATTCTCTACCTCGGGCGAAAGAAGCTCTGTTGGGACTCTTCTGGCATAGCCATTGTCCAACACCTTGTTCATGAAACCTTGATACTCCTCGGCGTAGGCTGCGTCCCTCTCAAAACGTCTCCCCAATCCAGACATCCGTTGCTCCGCTTGCTTCTTATTATTCGGCATCTGGATATCCTCAGACTTGAACGGCAGGCCTATGACGTAGTGGCCATTCTCATAACGTATGGACTCTTCGATCCTCTCTAGGAAAAGTTTGTCATCACGAGAGTGCTTGTCTTGATCATTTATAATCCTCTCACTAAAGTCGAGATCAAACTGACGATGTACCTGTGCTTCCAAACGTGTCACGGCGCAATTACACGACGCATTTCGCGGCGACACGCTATCACTAGAAACATCCAAAGGCCCATTTATGACCCAACCCAGGATGGTTTGTACCGCGAAAGGCCCATTGCCAATACGCTTTATGATATCCCACGGCTCCAAAGCCTTCGGCACATCTACCCCTAAGAGCAAACCAACTTAACCATCTATGGCACCTGCAGAGAATGGAATGTCGCGCAAGTAAGGCCACCTATCTACTAGTACCTCAGGGTCAATTATATCAACCTTGGTCACAGGCAATTCAGGTTGTGTAAGAATGGGTGGCAACTTCACTGTTGCTTCCTCCTTCAAACTACTGACCTACAAACCAGTTATCTCAAACCCACTTATAACACAATGCTAAGACATGGTACGCAATTCAATCTGGACCTTCTACCCTTTGCACCCAATGACTTCATCAAATCTTTAGTCATGAAGGAAGAAGTACTTCCACTATCCAGAAAAGCAAAGGTTTCCACAACACGATTGGTTGACACACATTTTACCTTGACCGGCACAATGGCCAACGCTTGTTGGGGAGAATCTCCGGCCCTCGTATAACCTGTACATACATTTGTCTGATTGGGACCCGACTTGGACCTTGCTGCTTTAGCGGCATGCATAATAGTAGGATGTTCTTGTTGATACTTGCTGCATGTCAACCTACTTTGGCAAAACCTCTTCCTGTGGCCAGGCTTCAAACAGCCAAAACATAAGTTATGCTACCTCAACAACGCATACCTTTCAGAAAGTGACTCGATCAAAAACCTTGAACAGTTGACCAAATTGTGGTCAGTACCTTTACGAAAGAGACAAGGAGTACACGACACCGGGTTGGCGGGCGGGTTCGGAGTCTTACCTCTAACGGCAAGGGTAGGGCTGGGGCTGTTTACGTTGGTGGCTAAACTCCTATGAGTTGGCTGAGATGGCCTACTGCCATGACTAGGTTGCTTGCTAGAATATGGTGACATACTAGCAGGCTGAAGGGCTGGACTCATGACCTCCTTTCCATACATGGGGTCGTTTTCCTTCTTTGCCTCTTTTCTAACAAAGTCTACTAGTTGGCCAAATTTGACTGGCTGGTTCCTGATTTTCTTCTCGTACACGATCCTCCTCCACCTGTCGTGCAGATGATATGGCAACTTTTTCACGATTTGCTTCATGTCATCTCCGTATTCCAAGACGCCTACAGACTCGGTCTCTTCCACCGCATGCAAACATTCACGAAGAAAGATTCCGAATTCGTCCAATACCTTCGGTTTGTCGGCTTTCACGTTTGGCCAGTCCAGTGCACGGTTAACGTAAGACTGCGAGATTTCGCTTGGATTGCCATACCTGTCTTTGAACTCGTCCAGTGCGGCCCGGTAACCACGCTCGGCGTTGAGGTGTGAATATGCATGTGCGATGCTGTGTGCCTCACCCGTGGTGTACTGCAAAAGATAGGTTAACTTTTCATCGGCAGAATCAGTGTTGGCACTGATCCTTGCATTAAACTGTCTGAGAAAGTTTGTGTAGCCCATGAGGTTTCCGTCGAATTTCGCGATGTCCATTGCTGGTTTTCTCCGTTCCTTAACAGCAAGGCTTAGATCATGTAGGTCTGCCATCGTGTCGGTGACAGAGTCAGAGCAAAAGATCGAGTGCCCACTGGTATTCACAACAGGTGTCGACACCATGAACCTGGAAGAAACGACTGCGTACAGGGTTCCAGCGATACCGAGCCACTGCTCACAACGGCGGGCGAATCAGCAGAGTTACTGTCCACAACCGAGGACGGATCCCCGACCTTCGCCTTAGTCACTACGGAAACTTTACTTACGGCTTGCTACTCGTGATAGCGTCTATCTCCGCCAGCGACCGATTGTCTCTTAGTTCACTATTTTCCAATTCTTCCAGCACTCGTGCTCTCGCCTTACTGACGTTAATTTCCGTTTCAATGTTGTGTTCTTTCTCGTTCAGAGCCAGTTCGAGTTTAGCGTGCTGTATTTTTCTTTTCTGTTTTAGAGCCTTCGCTTGCGCCAAAAACTCCGCTTTCTTTTGTTTCTCTGCCGCCTTAGCCAGCGACAGTCGACTACTAGTTTGCGAGTGTGACCGGGAAACCAGCGCTTTCAGCCTTGACGTCCTCAGAGGTGAGGACCTTTTCCCACGGCGGGGCATCCGTGCTTTAATTCCTCCATACGATGGCTCCACAAAGAGTCCACTGACTCCTCCGACATTCCCTCTAACGACACGAGGTTTCGTCTCTCTGACGTCACGACAAGAGATTTACTAATGTGGCGGCCAAATCGCCCGGAGTCTTCCGCGAGCTCGTTCAATAAACGAAATAGACACAGGAATTACTGGATACAGTTTCTTTATCGTGTATTTGACATCAAGACCCAATACAGCTCCAAATTCCAGTCAAACATCCATTAATTCCATCGAGTATCCGTAAATCTCTTATGTCATCCGCGTTCTAAAACACAAGCGTTCAAAGCGGTCATCCGGAACGAAACTGTGCCTCACATGCTATGCTCACAATGGCAAAAGCGCGGATTCTCAGAAATGGGGTTTCACTGAGCACAATGAGATTCGGAATCAAGAGTAGTCCGAAAAGAGTTTTAGGAATTGGCGTCCACAATGTATCTACACTTTACTAGTATATAGACGCGAGGGGAAGCTGCCTTAATTCCTTGCCCCCACCCGATAGCTACGACCCTGCTAGTACGCTAAGTGAAATGGCCATCAATTTATATCTACGAATTAATTTTACCGCGTATATGATACACGAGGTCTGTCCCTCGGCGTATTTTCCATTCGATTTAATAAACTGACATTCTTTACAGATACATGGGCGGATTTATCCTCATCTATAAGCAGATGGAGTGTCGGTTTTAGTAACATACGTTGAAAATACGAGGAATACATGACATATAACGAGAGTTTCTGCTTTCTCAGCCAAGGTGTCTCAGCGGTATATGTGCGCCAGCGTACATTTGCGCGAATGATTCTCAAATTTTTCTCGACTCCTCGTAGTCGAATATCTATGAAAAATTTCAGTGCAATGCATGCGTTTGTTAATAACAAAGCGCAATGCTATAGAGCACTATGCGTCTATCTGATCTGTGTGCATTTTCTATTTTCTAATACGCGGTTGCTAGTTCGAAAAATCAACATGTGAGCTAGAGACGTATGCATATTTGTACAAGAAATCTACATCTCTAACAAGACCTCTGATTATACGAGTAACATTGGAGATAAATCAGACTCCGGCGGTAAATCCTGGCCGCTTTGTTAATGTCAGGTATTATTTGGTTACGATTATTCAGGCTAACCTTCACCGCCCGGCGAAATTCACTAGCGTTAATTAAATGTTGTCACCCACGCTTCTTAGCGGTAATCATGTTACACGTCCAACTGCTACATCAAATACTGCCCTGATAAATGCTATCACCCTTGCTTCTTAAAGTAATGATCTCTCATAGTTTCCCAACGTTCTCATATTTTCGCGACCGTTCTCATACCTACCCAGGCCCGTAGCCAGGGGGGGGTTCGGGGGGTTCGAACAAACCCCCCCCCCCTGGCTACGGGCCTGCCTACCGATACTCTTAGCGTAACGCCAAGTGTGTACAGTAAGGATTACACGTCTTGGAAATCTCGCAGATCATTATTGAGTTCTCCAATATAAGCACCAATCTGCATTTAAAAGTAGAATTGTTTAAAATAAATGTGCCAACACAAATAGCACATGATTCTCGTATCTCACTATAGATGCCATCAACTGGTACCCTGTCTCTACACCATGTTACCTTTGTCTAAACATGTTGAGATTATCTGACGCACTTTTGTGGCACCATTTTAAGGTTTTCTTTTTGTCGAATCACGGAAATGCAAGCGCAAGCTTAGTGTTTATTTGCTGTTTTATTGCCTACAACAGCACAAACCAGTGGTAATTTTTATGCTGGAGTAATCAGTAATATGTCCGCTAAATAGCGATACCTAATTTGTCTACATATTTTTATTTTTCCAATTATTCGAGAGAGCATATTGCCCAGTTGCGTCACGAAATGCTGCGGAGATGACTGTTGTCAGGCCGTAATTTGTCAGAGTAATGCGAGCTCAAGTAAAACCTGCAAGGAAGTTAAACGAGCGATTAATTAACTCCAATTTGATCAATCTGACGCAAGACGACAAAGGTT